TGTGTGTTGTGTGTGTGTGTGTGGTGTGTGTGTGGGTGTGTGGTGTGTGTGTGGTGTGTGTGTGTGTGTGTGTTTGTGTGTGTGTGCCCGTCGCCGACGTAACGCCTCCCTGACGAGAGTGGGAACAATCTTTCCCGGGGAAGTAATGCCGACGTCGCAAAGTGACTGTCTCCTGGACAGACCATACGCTTACCCGAAGAGTTCTAATGATAACCTCTCTTCTTTCTCTCTATCTTCCCTCTTTCCTCTTCTAGACTCATCCCTCCTCCTACTAAGTGTCAGGTTGGACGACAACCCACTGGTAACAGCACAGACTCACCCTCAGTTTCCTCCCTCCTACTATGTCTCCTGCAAGAGAGAAGAGGAGTGAGACTAAACAGATTGTGTGTCGGAACTATGAGTGTGTCCGAAATGTTACCAGTATGTTGGCTCTTGTTTTTGAGCCACTTTTTTTATCAAAAGTTTTAAGATTTTTTCCAATATCGAGGAAAAACGAGTGTGACATGCGGCACGTCCGGTTTATCAGACTGCTGCCTCGGTTTTTTTGTCCAGTGGATTAATCGGGAATCTACACTACGTTTGCGGGCCCCTTCCTACAACACGTAGAATTGAGTAGAAGGCTACATTAGCCGTAGCAACTCGAACCCCACAGGGTCGTATATGTGACATTCTGTTGGGCACTAGGTCTTAATTCAATATGGACGTGATGGTTAACTCATTTAATGTTACTGACCTCTTGCATAACCAACACATATTGGGTCAACGCAGGTCTAGTCCACCAAAGAAAGCCTCGTTTTTCCTCTCTTAGAGAAAGAAGTCAAACGAGCTGTACCATTGTTATGTTGGTGAACTAGATCTTTGTGGACTAAGACTCTAGTGATAGGCGATCTGTTCTTACGAAATATCAAAATGTCTAGATAAGTACAAGGTGAAGATACATTGAACAACCTTATTCTTTACTCAGAGTGTCGGCTCAGCACGGACTAGTAGTTCTTCGCCATAATCACGTTTGAGCAAACGAAGGGGCCCAAATTCGGAGAGTCCCGATATCGAAACAAAAGGCGAGTAGTCAAACAAGTGGAGTACAATGCAACAAAATATGACAAAGTACAAAAAGACGCTTCGACAATAAATAATCACTAAAAAGATAGAGTCGACACCTGTTGTACATAATAACATCGCCAACAACCCAGACACGTCCGTCCTACTAGACGTCCTGACAACGCTTTATTTCTATCACGGAGTTAGAGGCAGAAATTACTGCAAAAAATCTACTATAGATAGTGACGGTACTTAAACTTTGACAACAAGCATAAGAAATTCTACGTTAAGTTTATAATGATACTTGAGGTACCTCCTTTTAACTGAAATCTATTCCAAGAATTTAATTTACAAACGGAAAAAATGAAGTTTATTTAAAAAGTAAATAAAAGATTAAATTTACAGTCAACATTTAGTCAGATAACTGGTATTTATTTTGGTATATAATTATTTCTACCTTACTTCAAACCGAATTTTTCACATTTTGTCTTATGCAACTAGTAATATATTCGAATTATTTTCAGTTGTTTTCATCGGTCCTTCTGTTTGTTTCCAATTTCTTGGGTAATAAGAAACCTTTCGTGTTTATAGTTGAAACAGTAGTTACATAATAAACGATCTAATTATATTTAGATTTCATTCTATGTTGTTTGTCTTAAGTGGCTTAAGGTAATCAAAATAAAGTTACACAGGGAGGTCGAAATTGATAACGAACCACAAACAAATTACAGCATTTTATTAGGAGAGTGAACCAGTCCCTTAATGTGGTTTTTGTCTTCTCCGTGTCGGTACAAGGTTTGGAAGCCACGGTGGTAATTTTTTTCGACTTATGTATAACATGTTTTAACAATTCTCGATCAAATCCACATAATGTCGGCCTAAACTGGAATCTATCCTATATGTCTTTATGCACAATGATAAGTAAGTCGGACCACTTATGAATCTCTCTATTGACCCCTATTTTCGATGAACCAACTAGGGCACTGCACTTCTACAACCGAAAAAGATTATATAAAGAACAATAATTTTAACATGTACAATAGTGTTCCTTACGGTGGAACACGAACCGAGGGGTGACTCGAGTTTAACATACCACAAGACTTCGATATCCCAACGCTGTTACCCTGTGTCGTAGTCCGACCGTTTCCCAGGTATCCACCGTATACCGACCCGCGTGATATCTCCTTTCCACAACCAAAGGCAACCGTCCTTACCACATTCTTGGACGACAGGTGGTCGCTCTGTGTGTGTGTGTGTGTGTGTGTGTGTGTGTGTGTGTGTGTGTGTGTGTGTGTGTGTGTGTGTGTGTGTGTGTGTGCACACTGCTGCTGCTCATTGTAGGATCATGGCCAGTATTTACTCTGTTGTCCTGTGCTACAATGGTGAAATCCTAATAATAACCAATGTATTCAGTTACAATTACCAATTACCTGTACAAAATGTAAACTTATCTTGGTATCAGAAAATGTAATTAATGTAAACTGATTACTTACCATCCTTTTTAATTGACTTAATATCAAATGTAATGCAAATAAATGCAAGAGGAAATCATGTTAATACTAAAGTTTAGTATGAACCACAAGAAAACAATGTAAATTATTTTACAATGTAAGATGTAAAACACATTGGGACAATAGTACAACATAAATGCGATTGTTTGCCATTACACTGCTGGACTGGGTGACATTTTCACGTTTATAACACACACACACACACACACACACACACACACACACACACACACACACACACACACACACACACACACACACACACACACACACACACACACACACACACACACACACACACACACACACACACACACACACACACACACACAATGTAGGTGATTTTGACTTGATCCACACACATTGTCCTATGACCACAAATACTAACTGGAGCATCAAATGTGTCCTTTTTTAAGAACTTACTTATGGTTTTTCCAAGTAATTGTAATTCAATTCAGATGTACATCTGTGAGCCATTGAGCTGTTGGTGTTCATATGAAATCTGTTGACAAAAATATATAGGTAATATAACACTAGAGTTATTATTTTACTCATTCTGGTTTCAAGCCTTGTCATACTAATAAATGGAAGTGGCCTGAAAAAAAATCAACATTACGTTTAAGAAGGCCCTTTAAGAAATATATATATTATTTTTTAATCAGTTTGTTACCGACTACAAGGTTGCATGTGTGTGACGTCTTAGTGTATCTGTTAGCATGAGGCTGCTAACAGCCTTCACATACACTTCCACTCTTTAAGTCTTCAGAATAATTGTTGTAATGAACAGAGCGCAGTCCGAGCTGAGCGGCAGCGGGGGGGCCACATGTGCACATAAACATGATGAAAACATGTGTGGCCAGCATTATTGCTAATTGTCCACGTTGGCTCTTTCTCTTATTAACATCTAATATGAAAATGGGGTGAATGACACACCCCCCCCCCCTGGACTTTATTAGTGCAGAGCTAAGTATAATCACCCTGACAGTAGGCCTGCGTTGTTTACATGCAGATGCTGAATTATAAAGAATAGTCTCTATTTGAAATACAGATGATCCTGTTTATCTCGCTGACCAGCTGTTTTGATCCCAACAGGATCCCAAGGAGCGGCTGGGGTGCCAGGTCGAGACAGGCTACACAGATATCAAGTCACACACATTTTTCCGCAGTATAGACTGGGACCAGGTAAGAGCAGAGTGAGTGAGGACAGAAGACATGTCATGCTATGATTGGATAAATGTTGTTTATCGCAGCTATGTTAATGTGCACTTCGATTATTTAACATGCATAGTTTGTGGCATGTGGCCGGAGACTCATTCATTCCCATTCATGTAAATACTGCATTCTGACTGAGTATAAAGAAAAGTGGGTTTTTTACCAGCTGAAATCCTCTTTGTTCATCCCAAAGGACAAGGAGACATTTTGGGATGACATTTTCAAAATATACACATGTATATAAAAGTTGCAGTTATATTCTCTCTAAAACTTTCTTGGAATGTAAAGATGAAACAGAAGGTCCCCAAGACCTTTTTTATTGAATTTTAGTCAACAAAAAACAAACAATACTTTGACAGATTACTGTTTAAATGCTAAATCCCACTCAGTGACCTTCATGTCGTTGGAGTGCCACATTGTATGTCCTGAAAGGTAAAACACAATATCTCCTCTTCAGCAATACACTTAGCTGCTTTACCTGTTGCACTTCCGAGCGGCATGTTAGCTAATGTTAGCAAAAAAGGAAAAAAACAGTTAGCACAAACCATGAACAAAGCACCATGCAGACATTTATGAAAATGTAAGCTGACTTTAATGTTTACACATCATGTTAACATGAGCGTTATAATGTGAGCTTAACTTTTGAGTTGATTATTTGAACCCATGAGATCATGATGACCGGGGCTTTAGGATCTGTGGATCAATCTAACATGGCGTCCCCTAAATTTGATTTGACTCTGATTGTAGCAACATCGGGCCATTCGTGAGGGCATCTTAAGCCATCATATGACCACCGGTGGAGTTTTTCAGGCTCCGGCAGCAACTTCGTGAGCGGTGGCAAAATATTTGGCATGCCAAAAAGTTGCCGAAGGACCTTGCGAAGGTTCATTTTCGTGTTGAATTTGTGTATCAATTTTGCCCTTCATAAGGCACTCGTGAGGGCATCTTGTCAAATCGTGTCATCTTCGTCTGATCATCGGTGCCATCGGGCATTTTTCGCCCCACGAAGACAATACGAAGGAAACAAGAAGCTGCCCGATTGTCTTAGGAAGGCAACACGACTATGTGAAGCCCTCACAATGACGTCGTGTAGCCATCGTATTATAGTACGATGACATCGAGATTGCATTTATTGCACAGCAAAATCATGTAAACATATTATGTAAATAACTCAATTTGTGTTCTGTGAAACTGAAAAGGATATTACATTGTTTTTGTTACTTTCGTTGCAGTTGTATGTCTTAAATGTAATTTAGGTTAACTTCCTGTTTTATTTAGATGCTTTTATTTTGAAGGTGAGTTTACGCTGTTGACAGGAAGTTGTTGTTGCTATGGAAACAACATGACGGAGATAAGTAATATCTTCTAATCTACATATAAAGATGGAGAAAGTAAAGAATAAAGTGTATGTTTAAATGTTAGCACCCCCCGAAGAGGCACAAGCCTCTTACGTTGAGTACTGGATACATTCTAACATCATCAGTAAAGTCTACGACCATATTTCGTGTTGTGGTCTCGGGTGCCATGGTGTGGCCTTCTGGTAGGCATCGTACTTGCCTTCAGCTGTTTGCCTTGGCCTGTTGACCAACTTCGGGGCCATGCTTCGTGCGAAATTCACATTCCATATTCGGTGTGTCAATTTCGGGACAGTGTGACGCGGGCTTTACAAACCACCGCTCGTCAGCAGGAGGGGAAGGGGTCAGCCCCAAAGCAGGAGACAGGAAGACTAAAAGGTAGGTTAGGTAAGAATGGAGAAACCAGCTCGAGTCTGGCTTGGAATTTTGAAAAGAACGCAGCCAAAAAAATAATCTGCCACTTCCTTCAAAGACTTTCCTTACAGCAGCCCCTCCACCAACACACACCAAACGCGCCACTATGACCAATGAGGGCACAAGATAAGTTTGTGCACAGATGGAAGGCCTGACAGGCCAGGTTAGGCCATCCAGCTTACTTTAGCCGGGCCGGCACTCAGATGATTTGTCGTGCTTTTTACAGCCGCTACGCGGCTGTCTTACAGATGACCCATTTTTTTTTTGTTAATGTCATTTATTGTCAAAGCTCATGTTTCAATGTATTTCCTGCTTTGGCTGATATCGGGATGATTAAGAGTGCATTCCCTGGAAAAATAACAAAAAGTGTTTCTGAACGCTCGATCGTAGTATCCCTACCTTTAACAGAAATACACTTTAAAGTGCAATAAGTGCAGGTGGTACATGGAGGGAACACGTGGTTTCAGCTTATTGGGACCTGGTGTGACTAATAACGCCAGGGAGAACCCTATCAAAACAGGGGCGGGAGACATAACACAAAGACATTAAAAAAACATGACATAATTGAATAAAACTTTTAAAATGAACCCAGCAAACAATGCAAACTGAAACTACAACTGTGCCACAGTTTACAAGTAGCGACACATCGGAAGCATGTGAACAGCAACCGACCCAAAAACTAGCAATTAACCATCGTTACCAATGGACGGAGTGGCATTTGTCATGTGGGCCTTATTAATAAAGCTGACTCTAGTTGTTTTTCGCCTTCTATTATGTTTTCGATGCTTTAAATTGAAACGAACACCAAGTTTTCAAACAAACCACTTGAAACTGATTTTGGACCCAGAGCCAGAGAAAAAAGCTTTGAAAGTTGAAAGCCCTGAAAATTATAAAAGAGGAAAAAAAATGGGATACATTTATATATCATCACTCATCAAATATTAAACTGTGAGTGCAAGCGTATTACTTGAAAATACAGCTTCCTCTTCAGTGGGATCAGGGCTGAAGGCCTCCTACAGACAGCTGCCTGAGAGCTGATCTGGGCTTGTCACACTAATGTAAACAACAAACAAAAGAGTAACACTGCCACACCCGTTTAAACACCAATCAGCTCTGGACCAACTGGCACGAGCTGTCGCGAGCTCATTCCCTGCTCTGTCAACTCAGTGTGGAACTACGTGCCTATATTAATGTACGGAGCGCGCCAATAACACAAAAGGACCCCTCCCATTGTGATCTCTGAGCTGTTGTGCTGTGTGTGTGTGTGTGTGTGTGATGTGTGTGCGTGCTGTGCGTGATGGTTTTGGTGTGTGTGTGTGTGTGTGTGCTGCTGTGGATGTGGTGTGGTGTTTGTGTGCTGTGGTGTGTGTGTGCGCGCTGCTGTGTGTTGCTGTGTGCTGTGGTGGTTGTGTTGTGGTGCTGTGTGGTGTGTGTGCTGTGTGTGTGTGTGTGTGGTGTGTGTTTTAAAATCCTGTGTGTGTGGATAAAATCTCGTACAGGCTGATCTCTTGCATCTAGCATAAAGACCTGTTTCCAACAGCAGGGCTGAGCGTGAGAAAATATATCAGAATCAATGTTGACCTGACATAGGGTTCTGTTAGATGCGGCAGCCTGAACAGGTGGCTACCCAGTGGGACTCAGACAGTAGCAGTAGTAGCTTTGAAAAAAGGTTTATTGTTTTTGAAAAATGTGTGGTTGGCGTCAGAGCCTGGATGGGGAGTCCGCGGGTGTGAATAGAGACCGAATGGGAGGGGGTCCAGGGAGGAGGTTATGCGGGGGAACGAGCAGAGTTTTACAAGGGTCTGGCCCAGCGTGGAGGTGGGCTGCTGAAGTCATCTGAAAGCGAAAAAAAAAAAAAAGTAAATTCAGCTGGGGGAGGGGGCTTGCTCTGCCTCAGCCACCTGTAGACAACAGGACAGGGAGCGACCCCTCAAAGGAGTGCCTTAATGATTAGTCAGGTCAGCAAGATCCAAAAATGTAATGTAACAGCCTCTATCTTCATTCCGTTGTGTCATACAGGGAAAAAAATCTAGAAATCGCGATATTTACTATAACCAAAATGGATTATACATTATATGAGGAATTTGCTATGGGTATGTAAAAAATATAAAAAACATTATCATTTCAGCCAGCTTCTATTGTTCTATATTATATCCTTTTGAAATAAAGCCCATTACTATAATGACACCATCGCAGACGTGCTATTCATAAATAACTTATAAAGCCACAACAATTAATATGCATATCTTTATCAGACATTACGGCAAACGCTTAATCAAGAATGATATTTTAAGGCCATTTCACTTATTCTCATCGTTGCACAGCATCTTCTCAATGGGACAACTTTAGGAAGGATGGCAGAGCACTGAAGACTGCTAGTGGCCTTAAAAGGAGAAAACACAATCTCAGGGTGTGTTAAGTGAAGTTGCTGTCACACAGACCACGCCTAGATGATAAGCTACAACACCAAAGCCAACAAAGGGACAAATTATATCAAAGCGGAGGAGAAATCGCTGAAGACCAGCCGGACAAAGGGCCCCACGTGTAAGCAACAAGGGAAAACAGAACTTGAACAAAGCTGAGACAGGAGGAGAGGTGACGGCCCTCTCTGCCCATCAAACCAAACCTTCTACCAGACCTGAAGACCTGGCACAGACCAGCGACTGGTTGATTACCAACATCACATTGCATAGATTCGATCAGACGACACTTCAACTAGGGAGGGGCGCTAAGAGCTCTCTCTGAAAGAGATGACACATTGGAATATCATGTATACCTGTCTTCCTCTTTCAGGCCTGCGCCAAATCCCACAGTCTCACGCCGAGAGCTGTCAGGCTGATGATCGCTGAGAAGGGTCACTGGATTCCCTGTTGGTGGGTTACTCTCATTGACACTGAGTATCACATAGATGCAGGAGATCAGATTACCCTTTACATTCTGTTGGCATCTTTCAAATGTTTTACATTTGACCCAAAACATAGTTACCTGTTTAAACCATTAAGAAGACCAAACGGTAAAAGAGAAGTCAAAGGTACAGGCAGCACTTTAAAACAACTAGAATCACACCTTTGCCAAGGCACAAAAGATAACTGAAATGTCCCTGCATCAGTGGTGGGAAAGATAAAATACTTAAATACAGTTACGTGCAGCAAGAGACTATTACTTCTGATGACTTTACTTAGGTAAGGTAAGGTTCTAATA